GAGTCTTCTAGTCCTGATGCGTCCCAATTTAGCGAAATCATATATAGGAATATATATATATATATATATATATATATATGCTTATTTATTAATTAATGAATAGCATTATAGCATGCGATAATATTTATATCACCCAAAGTTAACTAAAGCGACAAATTCGCCATTTCAGGAAGGAATACGCATGCGCGTCAGCCTTTGTCAGAATATAATGGGTAAATTTGCTAATTTCTACCGAAACTGTTTTGCATCCATCGTCTTCTGCTGGGCGCTATAGCTTGGACCATTGTGTGGTTGATGAGAGTCGATGCTGGCCGCGTTCTGGCCTAATTTGGCCGAGCCCAAAGCCTTCTTAGGGCAGCCTCCAATACCACTTTCCGGGCGACGCGAAGAGGAAGAGGTGGATTTGTCCTGTCATTTTGTGTCATGTAGAATAAGTGTTCAGTCAGTCCAAGAGAGCTCACTCTGTAGGGTACGGTGCCATTTTCCCGGTAGTGATAAAATTAATTTTAATAAAACACTAACACTTATATTATTTTTTACAGAAGTAATAGCGGTGGTTGAAGTAGTATGATATTGTAGGTGGTTGTATTTAATTACGTAAACAAATAAATAAATATTTAGATTGAAGGATTGATATTTACAGTTTTAAATTAAATGCAATTTGCAAAATGCCTGGTTTGTCTCGTCTTCGAATCAATTCCGTTGATTAGAAAACAAGATTTGATTCAAAAGAATGCACTTTGCTTGGTTCAGGTCGCTTTCATTTCGAGAGAAAGTGGAGCGGGAAGAGATTCAAAGATGGATCCCACCAGAAGACGCCCATCAGCTGTCTCGTCTTGGCCACACATCGAATGGCTCTATTGGGATGTGCTTTTAGGGGCTGTTTCCGAGGCAGTCTCCTTCGATTTCGGCTGAAACGTGTCCATCTCTTGATCCTCAAATGACGAACATCCTCAGAGCAGAGATGGTATCATCCTTACAACCACACTGCAGCCAACTGGTCAAGAAACCTCATCGGCCCATCCCTAAATGCTACATGTGCAGCCTATAGCTAAGTTATGTGATGAAGTATAAAGTGATGTGCTTACTTCAAGTCACACGTCAACCTCTAAGCATGTGAGTGTGTTTGTCTGTGTCTGTTTATGTGCCCTCATGTATTGCCACAAGAAAATGGCTAGGCCTCATTAAGCCATTTAAGATTTCTTATTCTTGCCTACCAAACAATTTTCACATCCAGGCTCGATTGTAGTTTCCACTTTGCTTGGATTGTAACACCACCGAAATGAAAGTCAAAACTGCATAGAAAGAGTTAACGTGAACATGTGTCAATATAAGTTCTTTTCGTTTGTCATAGCAGGATTTGGGGGATTATTGTCGTGAAAAGCAGACTTTTTGTGTAGGTCATGAGGTCCGGACTGGCTTAGTCTCAACCCTTGGTGGTTGCATTCAAATTCGACTATCCTCGGTTCGAGTCGCGCAGACTGTGTTGCTAAGACGACTGTGGTACAGGCGACGCATTCAGCTGCAATGAAGACTGAAGCCTTACTTTCAGCTCAGCGACTGCCGAAGCGCCATAATGTCCTTCGAGCCATATCCATCTGTACTGACCCTCCGTCTGAGCCGCCGACAACCTCCCCAAGGACGGTATACCAAAAAATGTTCAATTGAAGTTATGAAAACCAAGATGTAGTGACCTCTGGAATGGTCGCAGTGAAGGTCTGATATCTGCAAGCATGGGAATCAGAGCTTAGTCGCTCTGCTCAGTGAAGCGGCACACTGGGACTGGAACCGAGTGAAATCGGTCAACCAGAAAGATCAGGAACGGATCTACGCGACAATGTGGGGATCCGGATTGGAGGCCCGAGTCGGAACGGCCGATCGTAAGAGAAGTGGTCGGGGTGAACAGCGGGTGTGATGAGGCCACATTAGATTTGCCACAAAATGGCACACATTTTGATGATCGAAATGTAAAAAAGTGAGAAATTGTGATGTGTCGGCAGTGGGATTAGAGGTTAATGAGTGTATAGATAAGTCAGGACAGAAAGAGGAGTGACGGTGTAACCGTTTTCGGCAGAACGGTTGTCGAGACATTGAGCAGAGAATGACAAAGCTCTTTGATGATGCTGACTACGATCCT